ATCCAGTCTTCTATGTTGTTGATGTTGTTGGTGGTGATAATGTTATTAATAAGTGATTGTACTTCTGGTTCTAGTGAAGTTTCTTTATCGAGTCTCCACTGTGTTTGTGATAGTTGTGGTGGTGTGATTTTTATGTTTGTTGTGATTGGTGAGTGGTCAGATAGTGCTCTAGGGTGTAGTTGGAAGTTGGATGTTTCTATTGTAAATTTGCAATATATTCTGTCTAATCTCTTTTCTGTATCGCCACGTTTCCAAGTGCTGCTGTTGTTTGTACTATCTAGATCGATAAGATCATGATCATCGCTGAGGAAGTCTAATATTGTTGATAGTGGTGAGCTGTCTCCTGGTATACAATTAAAGTCGCCAGTGCAAATGTCTATATGGTTTGGTAACCAAAGAGAAGTGTTGTTGAAGAGTTGATCAGCAAACAATCTTTGCTCTGGTTTGCTTGCTGGAGCATATATATGTAGGAGATTGAAGCTATTGTTGAATATTCTTATAGTACACAGAATGAATCTTCCATTAGGATCGATGAGAGAGGGGTATAGATTGATATGCTTGGAATGAGAGATGATTGCAACCCCAGTTCCTTGACCGTTTGAAGTAGTTATTATCTTATTATTATTATTATTTTTGTTGAAATATGAGTTGAGTGAGGTGATTGTGACGTGATTAGTTTCTGTAAGTAGGGTGATGTGTGGTGAAGTAGATGAAATTAAAGAGGCTATATCTTCCAGTGATTTTTGTAGAACTGCGCCCCTGCAGTTCCATAGAAGTAGCTTAAGGTTGTCCAATTGGGGCTAAGGGTATTCTCACATGTGTCTGCGTATTACCTGCTGGAGCCTGAGTTCTCTTGTTTTGATTTGTATCTTCTGAATCTTTAACTTCTCTTTGTCTAACTGTTGTAGTGTCATTCTTCTTCTTATTTCTCTTCTTATCGGTTGAAGTTGTTGTTGTAGTTGTAGAAGAAGTTCTTTGTGTAGGTTCTACGTATTTGGTTAGAGTTGAAGTATAACCCGATTCTTCGTCTTTGTAGTCAGCGTCAGAAATGATGACATCTTTCTCGTAGAGTACCCATGTAGATGCTTTGTATAGTTTAGTGGTATTGTCTTTGGTGGGTAGCAGAGAGGAGACATGTGAAAAAAGAGCATGATTCTTCTTGTATATCTTCTTGAATTCATCCTCTTTAATTGCTTTAGAGCTGTCTGATGTTGTTATTGCTGATACTTTTAGAAAGTTGAAAGAAGGGAAATAGGCAACAATCTTTCTAGGTTTATTTATCGAAAGGTTCTCACTACAGTAAACATGTAGATCATTGAGACGTGATCTGTCAATCCTTCCGTTAAATACAATTCCTTTGCTTGTCCTACGACCCTCGGGATCTGATACAGTGCTCATAATGAAGAGATCATATAGTTTTTCTAAAATCTTGTTACTGACGTAATTTGATTTAGGAAAGTATAGACGTACATGAATGCTCTCTAGTTGTATGAGTTGCATGAAGGTCGCATTGTTGCTAAGCTTTAGATTCTTTTTATAGAACTCGAATAGAGTACTCATTTTACTAATTGATTGTTCTTATTGTTATTTAAATGTATATAAATATATATTATAGAATAAAATAAGATTTGATGGTGATTAGATGAATATGTAATAATTAGTTTAAATTTATATTAAATCTTATATTATTGCAATAATATGTTGTATTATTAATAGTTATTGCTAAATAGTTGATATAAATATGAAAATATAATAATTATAAATAGTAGTATACAGTTACTAATTGTATACAAAAAAACGAAAAAACTTGTTTGTGCGGTCGCACCTTGTAAAAAAGGTGTGTTTCCACAACAATTTTTTGTTTGTTAAAGGTAACAGGCGGGATTGAACCGTCGACCAAAGGATTTGCAGTCCTCTACTCTACCACTGAGCTATGTCACCTTTCGATTATTTTTTAAAAAAAAAAAAATAATTTTTGTATCAAAACTATACAAAAAAATATTGATTTTAACATTTAATTCCAACTTTAAATGATATATAAATATATCTGAACATATATCGCACAAAATGACATGAGAGACGATGGTGACACTCATGGAAGTATCGGGTGATAGTAATTCAGGACTAGGGTCAGTTTCTCCAATCCTTCTGGGAGAGAACACCTTGTTCGATTGGTTGACTAAACATCATACCCAATTTGAGTGACTTTATATTATTTTTGATTTTTTTATTTTAATCTTATAAGAGTATAAAGATAACAGTACACTCCAAAGGCTCAAAGACAATACTACACTAGATCTTCAAATCCCTATAGTTCAATATCTCCAGAAAAAGGTGTCGATTTCACACTACAGTATCATAAATTGAATTAAACTAAAATAAATATATACTTTATTTAAAATAAAACATTGATTATTCTAGAATTAACACCTCTTGATAAATTTAATTTTTATTTTTAATTAAATTTATTTTTAATCTTAAATTAAGTATAATTTTATTATCTTTTTATTGGTCATAAATTAATCAAATTAATACCAATTTAATCACAGATAAATTTATGATTTATCCGTACTAAACACTTAATAAAATCATCAATTTATTTTACATTAACCATAGATAAATTTGTGTTTTATCAAAATTAAATTGATAATTTATCAGTACTAAACAGATATTAAAATCATCAATTTATTTTACATTAACCATAGATAAATTTGTGTTTTATCAAAATTAAATTGAGAATTTATCAATCATGTCTAGTTGTAATACAGTACAGCTTGGTGATGGTTCAAATTAAATAATTCATTTATACAAACAATCAATAATATAATAAAAAAAGTATAGGAATTTTATTTTAATTTTTATTTTTCGAAATCTAAATTAGTTATTGATTCATGATTTCTTTTTTGTTTGTTTTTGGGTCTTTTTCTCTAGTGCTTCTTTTAGTTAGTAATTGGAAAATGTAAGTTATTTCATAATTTGAAATATTTTTGGCAATGACTGCTTTGACAAATTTTGCTACCTCTTGAAAATCGGTTTCTAAAATATCAATACATGAATCTTTACCCTTTTCTTCATATCCATCTTCTTTGAGTTTGAGAACTACATTATCTAAGTCAAATAGTAATAGATCTTGTTTCTAATAGAAATTACATTTAGTAATGGTTTATTTTAATCTTATATTTCAATTTTTACCTCTTTGGTCAATGAAGCAAATGCATTTTTAACATTCTTGTTGATATTTCTTAATCTATTTCCCAAACCATTATTTATCTTTCAAAAAATTTATATTAGTTACTTTTAATATGAATTTAAATTACTTTAACAGATAATTACTTCTTTAATTTGAATGGTCAGATCATTATCATCGATTGTTACTAAGTTACACTCTTTTTTAATAGTTTTTTTTATAAACTTATCTTGTACTATTAGTCCTGGAGAGTTTCTTTGCTTCTCTTTACATATCTTCATGATTGTTTCTATAGAGGAATAGTTTAAAACATTAAGAATATTTCTAATCTGTATTTAAAATAGACATATATATACATACTTTCGTTGGATCTAAAAGAATTTCCTATCATGAAATTTTGTAAGTTGGATAATTTATCAGTTATTTGAGTGAGTTTCTCTAAAATATCTTTTATTTGGTTGGGATGAACAGTCGATCGAAGAGAATTTGATTGATGGTTCCCTCTGAAGCTGGTATCTGGATTAGTATATGATGTTGAAGAAGAAGAAGAAGATGATGATGATGTAGAAGTTGAAGTAGTTGTTGTTGATGTTCTTGGTTGGCTAGGTTCATTGAAGTCTATATATACATTTGGTATACTACTTGGAGATGCACATCGCTGTAGATCTAAAAATCTTTGACTATTACTATGAATTGGTGTTATTTCAGCGAGTGGAGATCTAATGCTGTGGAGAGGTGAATCCCTGTATTGTGGTGTTTGAACATGATTATAAAATAAATTCGAGTTTTCAATAAACGATTGATTTAAAAGATTATTATTATAGTTCATTTTTCTTCAGATGTTATAATAGTTATTATAGTTATTATTAAAGAGGAAAAAAATATAAATATGAAGAATATCACTTGTGATTCATTGAGTTATCATTATATTGTGATTTTATAAACACACTGTAAAGTAAAATCCGCGCCAATTTTGCAAAAAGTTGAATAATAAATAACACAGAAAATATATTATATTTATTGGTATAAATGTCAATAGAAATAAAAAAATTCCATGATAATATTGATTATAGTACTAGTGATTAATACATTATAATTATATGATTTAATATTCATAAAAATTAAAACTGGGGGTGGAAGAGAGGTAAGTTTTTCTTGCTTTTTCATTAATTTGACTGTGTTTGATTCTCTCAAAGTCACCATAAATATAATCACTGTTAGGATCTAATTCAAACCATCTAATTAAGAGTGTTTCTTCAAAAATTGCAAGTATGTCGCAATACCAAATCTGTTCTGTATCTCTTTTCTTTCTTTTTCCCATAGTAACTACACCAATTACTGATATTGTTTCACCACAAAAATATTTTTCATTCTGGCATTTGATTGAAGTGTACTGAGTTTCATTTGTCTGGATATTACTATTGTTATTACACCTATTTCCAAGACTAAATGATTCGTTCTATAAGATCATAGCGATTAAAATCATGTTAATAAGAATATACAGGTAATGCTTAAATAAATAACTTAATAGAAATGAAACTTACTTTATTATCAAGATTATCCACTTGAAAGTTTTTTAGATATTCTTTTGAGGTAAAGAGGTCGGCTCTGTGAATTCTTTCCAAAGAGTGGTTGTTGGTACAACGAATTTTAAACTCACGGGTAGGTCCATTCTTTGATTCTAGATTTTTTGATTTATTAATTAATAAAATGACTGAGTTTCTTTAGAAATAATTATATAACATACCATAATCATTGCTTGAATAGTAAATTGGTGCCCCATGTAATTCTATTATATCACTCCAATGGTACGATAGGTGAAAATTTATTGAGTGATTAAACTGATTTTGATATAGTTTAATGAATAATTTATGATGTATATCAATTTGAGATTTAAGAATTGACAAATCATAAGATGAAATATTTCTTTTCAATAAGATGAAATAGTATCTATAAAATTTTATGAATTAGTAACACTAATTAGTGTTTAAACATTCTTTGATCTATTGAAAACATATGAAATTTACTTACTTAATATGATGTTTCATACAATTAAAATTATCTTGCTCAACATAACCGTCAACAATATATAGTAAAAAGTGGGCCAATTCCATCACCTCTCTACCAACATAAGATTCATGGCTATCCAAGTTCAATGAAGAATTCATTTTCTGGAGTCTTAACTTAATAGAATTCATATTCCTCTTTGCTGTTGGTGTTTTCAATAGATATCCAATCTCTTGTTTTAATAGCCCTATTTAAAATATATTCACTATTAGAAATTTGATTGGATTAATATATATTAAAATTGACCTTACCAATACTTTCGTTGTGGAGAATATCAATTGAAATTTGGTTTATTGGATCAAACACGTGCCACATTAGAAATGCTAGTAAAGAATATAAATATTAATAAATTTATAATATATCAACATGTTAAATTATACTACATACAAGGTTCATTAACTTTCATTCCAAGATCACATAAAAGTGTTTTCTCTTTCTTTTGTTTTTCGAATTGATCCGTGATACTAGAATATTGATAGAATTGTGATACCATATCTCCCCAAGATCTTTTAATATGGTGTGGATTCAGACATTGGCATGATTCTAAAGGTATTAAACAAAAGCGACATGGCAAATTACTGTTAAAGCTAGTGATACACATCAACTTGTGGATCATTGGCGTATCTCCCACAATTCTAACCAGTCTAAAAAAGATATCTCTTTTAAGAAATTGATAACTTTTCTATAATTAAACAATAAATTAATGACTATTTTACAAAAATAAAAAATCTTACAAATTTTGGACTTACTTTTTCATAGTCTCTAAATATTTTTAATATCTTCATCATGGCCGATTGAATGCTAACAGTAGAAGGAACAAGACTAATTAGGACTCTGTGTTTTACAAAAAACTTGTCAATTCTAGTATCTAGGTTTAGAATGCTCATATAAACACCTACATATTAAATTTAATTAATAAACTTACTGAAACAATTCACAAATTAATAAAGAAATGAAAGAACTTACTGTTGATTGATGAATGATTTCCTGCAGTCCATCCATCTATAAAGAACTCAACGGCAATGATGTCTCTCTTATCTGATATAAACTTAAATAGAGCACTGTTTATAAAATTAGAATAATTATCCAGTGAAGACTGTTCTTTGCTATTTTGTATGTAATTTAAATTAATAACAAAAAAAAAAACCTAAAAAAAGATGAGAATAATGTTATCATACCTTTGTTCACCTGAATATTTATAAATAATGTAATTGTTGAACTTATCGATGAACAACTTAATATAGTCCACTGGATCTAAATAATATATAGTTTGGTCATCAACTGTTATTCCTTTTAGTTCCTAGTATAGGTAGTGTAAAGATAATTAGTTGATCAACATATCATATGGTGTAGTGTAGTATTGATTATTATTATTATTGTTATTTATGTCCATAGTAGTTAATAATAATATATAATTAATTAAATAAAGTATTTAGTTTTGTTTATAGATTTAGTTTTATTTATATATTTAATATTAGATCTTCTATCTATCTTTCTTCCTTTCTGTATCTCTATCTGGGATATTTATATCTGTTGTTTGTTGGTATTTTACATTATTATTCCGAATTGTAGTATAGTTGATTCGTTGAATATAATAAAATCATCTGGATGATTTGTATGCTGGATTATATGTTGAATATAATTATCTGAATTGTAATATTAATTATTGGGTTAATTGTATATTGATATGTTGGTAGTTGAATAGACAATATTGTGTTAATTATCTATATTATCTAATATTATTGGATAACACTCCTCTTTCTTAAAAAGAAGTATTCAAGAAGAATACAGCGGTGTTGGATTTGATCTTATGGTACTTTGACATAAGTTTATTGCGGTGATGTGGGTTGGTAACTGTCTCTAAGGCGTTTAGAATATTGTTCTCTCTAAACAGTAAACTGTTAATATTGGCTACAGGGTTGAGGTTGTCGATTTTCTTGTTGAAATCGTTGATTTGTTTGGATGCATGTTTGGCGAGGATTTGTCTTGAAACCCATCCAACAGTATTACTTATTTTAACTAAATAATCAGTGTTACTAGTTAATCTTCTTTTAGATACTATTTTAAATGATCTTTTCTGAATCATTTCGAATAATTCCGGCGATATTGCAAATTTCATAATACTATTTATTAAAAGGTTAGATTCCTCTGTTACTTTGTTGTGAGGGTAATCTATTACTGATTCCTTTTCTTCTAAAGTTCTTAAAAGATTTATAAATGTATTTGGGCTAGATTTATTATTATTTAAAATTTCTCTAACTTTAAGATATGTATTTTTTTCAGGATTTAAGATTCTCGATAACTGTAAATCTGAAAAATGTCCTTTAGGTTCTAATGACGAATCAATACTTGATATATTAGTCATCAAATCATTTAAATCTTCAAGATCAGAGATATCATCTTCGTCTTGATTAATTTCATCTTGATGATTAACTACGTCGTCTTGATCCATAGTTTCATCTGTGATTTCGTCTTCATTACTGATATCAGACATTTTTACATCGGATATTAATTCATCATTATTTAGAAAAGAATCTAATTTTTCTACTGGAATGTATTCTCTCTCGTTCACGTCATCCTTTGGAGCGTGTTTAAAGTATTTTACGTGCAACGTTTTAGACGTTGTTCTAATTCTTGAAACTCCAGAGATATAATCTCTTATAGTTATATTTAAATTTTGTTTGTCAATATCGATGATCTCATAGGGACCAGCGTATACTGCTTCTAATTTGTTCCACTTCTTGGAAGGTCTCTTTTCCTTTACATACACTTTATCACCGATCTTAAAATCATTATACTTTTTATTTTTATTATAATTAGACAACATCTTGTTTCTAATCTTAATTAAGTTATTTCTAACATTTATAATGATTGTAGAGGTATAATTTAATAATGATTCAATCTCATTATCGTTCACTGTATCACTTGGTTCTCTATTTAAAGGAATTGCCAAGTCGGCGACAGTAGATGGATTTCTACCATAAGCAATTAAGAATGGTGTATAATTTGTAGAAGTAGATTTAGTATTATTTAATCCAAACTGAATTGTATCTACATGTTGATACCAATTTCTGTTTAAACCATTTTCTTTGTCTTCGATTAATAACTTTCTTAAAGTATTTTTAATCGCTCTAATCACTATCTCAGCTTGTCCATTAGCTTGTTGATGATCAGCTGTAGTGAAATTAAGTTTGATATTTAATAATTTAGCAAATTCTTTCCAAGTTCTGGAAGTTAGTTTGCTGTCTCTATCGCTGGAGATGTATAATGGTACTCCGTGTATCTTTATAAACTCGCTTTTGAATAATCTAGCAAGTTCTAAAGAAGTATATGTGCTATGCGTGGGTATTAATGTAGTATACTTTGAAAATCTATCTACGATTACCCAGATTTGATTGAATTTTCTACCATTACTATCTTCCACTTCATTTAAATTTGTAATAAAGTCACATGACAGTGCTAAAAATCTGTCATTCATTATTGGTAATGGTTGTAAAAAACCTCTTCTCTTATCACCATAATCACTACCTTTGTTACATACATCACATCTTTTATAAAATTTATAAATATCGGATTTCATTGAATCCCAAATAAATTTTTTAGAAATTTGTTCTAACATGCTAAACGCATTGATATGTGCAGATGTAGATGAATTATGATATAAATGTAATATTTGATCAATTAATGGCTTTACCATAGGTATAATAATTTTACCTTCAAAATATTTAACATCATTTAGAGTTGTAACTTTATCACTTTTATAAATAGATTGTAGTTTAATTTCATCGTTTTCAATCATTTTGATTTCCAATTTATAACTATCTTTTATATTTTCTAATAGATCATTATCATAAGATATTTTAATATTATTGATATCAAAAGTATATCTTGATAAACCATCGGCTATAACATTTGTTTCACCTTTTATGTATTGTAATGTCGGATTAAACAACTCAATGAATTGTAACCATCTGTTGATTCTAGAATTAATTCCGATTGCGTATTGTTCGCGTAGGAACTTGATATTTTTGTGATCAGTATTTATAATCACTTCGTGTCCTATCAAATGATAATAATTTACTTTCAATGCATGAATGATTGATAACAATTCTTTTTCTAACACAGTGTAATTTATTTCACTGATTGTGAGTTTTCTTGAACCAAAAGAGATGAAATCTCTGGTTATATTATCTAACTTATTAATTTGATATAGAGCATGACCAATGCCGTATTTAGATGCGTCACACTCAAGATGAAATGGTATTGTATAATTTGGTGCGACAAGATATTTAACATCTTCGACCAATTTCTTAATCTGATTAAAAGCATTTGTGGCTTCTTAAGTCCACACAAATTCAGATTTATCTTTTATCATATTAAGTAATGGAATCTCAATAGATGATACATTACTGATAAATCTTCTATAATAACCCACTAAACCTATGAATGATCTCATTTCATTCTTATTCTCGGGTTTTTTCCAATTTAAAATTGATTCTATTTTATTGTGAAGTGGTTTTATTACTCCACGACCAACTACATGACCTAAGAATTCAATTTCTCGTCTAGCAAATTTACATTTCGATAATTTGACTTTAAAGTCATGTTTTTGTAAAATTTTAAAAATTTCGATCAAATCATTGATATGATCGTCTAAACTATCTGAATTAGTCATGATTAATATATCATCTAGATATACACATATTTTCATATTTAAAATTTCCAACTGGAATATGTGATCCATTAATCGTTGAAAATTAGCACCTGCTCCGGCTAACCCGAACGGTGTTACTGTATATTCAAATGTACCAAATGTAGTTTTAAAAGCAGTTTTGTATTGTTCGCCTTCATTGATACGAATTTGATGGTATCCGTCTAACAGATCCAACTTTGATAGCCAGTAAGCTAATCTTGTATTATTTAATAATTCATTAATCCTTGAAAGAGGATAATCATCACGAACAGTAATTTTATTTAGCTCTCTGTAGTCGACACAAAGTCTCCATCCACCGTCTGGTTTAGAGACGAATAAGATAGGACTACCAAATGGGGATCTAGATCTCTTGATCCACCCTTTATTCAATCTATCATTAATTTGTTTTTTTAATTCTTCTAAGTGTGCTATTGGTACAGGGTATAACTTTGATTTGGGAATCTCTTCCGTTTTTAATTTAATTGTCATATCAAACTGTTTACCTCTTGAAGGTGGTAAACCATCAAACGGTATAAACACGTTTGGGAATAACCGTTTCAAAGTTTCTACAACTTTTGTTTCGTTTTCGATGTCGATATTATCTGTAACAGATTCATTCATTTTTTTATCATTATCTGTATCTACATCTTTTGAAATATCATCATAGATTTCATTTATATTCACCCAAGCATAATGGGGCGTGAAATCAGTATTATTTTTATTTTTAACCCTATTATCTTTATTTACGTCATCAATAATTTTTTTAATCTCAGACTGAATTAAATTTTGTTTTTTTAATAATCGATCTAATTCGTTAAACTGATCACGATTTTTCACATTTATTTTATTAATTTTATTTTTCAAAAAATTAATATTTTTATCTTGAACTTTACGTTCGTTCTTTAATTCATTTAATTTAATTTTTATTAGATTTTTGTTTAAACTATTTTTGTTAAGATTAATTAGTTTGTGTATATCATTATTAACTTTTACTGATATTATTACACCTTCTGGATTAGCAGACAGGGTAATACAGGCTGAAGCTTGCCAGTTCACACCTAATATGATATAATCAATGTGGGTATTAATAACATAGAATTTTTCATTACATTCTAATCTTTTATTATTATCCGTAGTAATATAAAATTTTATGTTTGTAAATTCATTACATAATATAGAATTACTAACATTATTAATTTTAATAGGATTACATTTTTGTATGCTTACATTTAGACGTTTTGCCATGTCTTTACTTATGACTGATATGTCTGCTCCGGTGTCTACAACCGCAACCGTTTTCTGGTCATTGATTACAGCTTGTATTGCTGGTGTACTGTTTATAAAGTTAACAGTAGCATCTTTGTTCTTGTTTTTAAAGTAACAGTCTTTAGCAAGATGACCGACTTTACCACATACGTAACATGTTGGCTTAGCACCGTGGTGGTTATTTTTATTTTTATGGAGATTCTTTTTGAAATCATGTGGTCTTTTTTCAACAAAGCCACCTTTATGGTTCTTTGAACTAACTTTCTCTTCATCGTCAACAATATTCTGTAAGGTACAGATACGTCGACCGTTTATGCCATATTTAACAACTAACTCTGCGGTCTCCAACATACGGGATTCTAAGTCTGGCAGGTTTTTAATGGATTCCAAGTTTCTTACATTACGCAAAGCATTGGCATACATTGCAGCGGCCGTCTGGGAGTTCACGATGTTTCTGGTCTTATTTACCACTTTTGTGAAGGTCAGATTGAAAGAAACTATGTCGTCGCGGTTAGGCAGAAACTTTAGTTTGGCGAGAATACCGACATAGTGTTCTGGTGGAAACTCACGACTGAATAGCTTCACCATCATGGATTTGTATTCGTTCCAAGATGCATTTGCGGCAACATGGAAGTTTCTTGTTAGGGCTCTGGATTTCTCATTGAGAGTGTTGAAAAATACTTTAGCTCTGGCGTTAGGCAAAGGTATGGTACTTTCAATGAGTAGTAGATGTGATTCGATGTCGGCAGTACTGGATTCGAAATCGAACTTGGGGAGACTATCAATCGAGGCTTTACCGACTTTAGTAGACATTATCTGGTTGAAAGCGGTGTTTGTATCCATCATCACTAGTTTGTTACAGGTGTACAGTATGGCTGTTTTTACTGGCACATTTTTCATGTTAGCGTACTTTGCTGCCATGGCCCGATACTTTTCATCGCTGTTGATAAAGTTTATAAGAGGTTCGATGGAATTGTCGACGAGGTGAAAGATTTCGAAGTCTGCGTTTTCCACTGTAATAGCAACACCTGGCAAGTTGGCGTTGGTAGAGGTAGGCAAAGCTAATGGCACGGCTGGGAATTCAGGCATGTCTCTTACAGATTGGAGTGAATTGAGTAGGTTAATACCACGGAAAGGTGTTCCGGGAACGTAGTGAGGCTCTCCACCATGATTATTATTATTATTGTTATTTATGTCCATAGTAGTTAATAATAATATATAATTAATTAAATAAAGTATTTAGTTTTGTTTATAGATTTAGTTTTATTTATATATTTAATATTAGATCTTCTATCTATCTTTCTTCCTTTCTGTATCTCTATCTGGGATATTTATATCTGTTGTTTGTTGGTATTTTACATTATTATTCCGAATTGTAGTATAGTTGATTCGTTGAATATAATAAAATCATCTGGATGATTTGTATGCTGGATTATATGTTGAATATAATTATCTGAATTGTAATATTAATTATTGGGTTAATTGTATATTGATATGTTGGTAGTTGAATAGACAATATTGTGTTAATTATCTATATTATCTAATATTATTGGATAACAAGTATTCTAATACATACTTCAGTTTCTTTAAGTAGATAATTATTCTCTTTTCTTTTAAAATTCTTGATGTTGTCGGTATTTACTTGTTCGAGTAGGTTCTTTATGATTAAAAATTTTTTCACCGATACTCTGTTTTTGTATAAAGTTGTCATTACTAGACTTAGATCTTCTATAGATATCAATACTCCTAAATATGACAAATTCTCTCAAATATAAATAATAAATTTTAAAATATTTAATTTAAAAATATTTAATATTTAATTAATATTTACAAACAAATATAATAAATAAAACATTTATCAAATAAATAATAAAGAAAATTCAATAATAAATAAAATGTTTAAACACAGTTATAAAGAATAATTGTTAAATAATCTAAATTTATTTATTTTAATGTTTATTTTCAGTGGCAGTGCATGCACATCTGTGGTGTTGTCAATATACTCAAAGGTTTATATTTGGGTATTGTTGGCAACATGCTAAATATGGAAAAAAGAAAAACAGAAAATAGATTCGAATTAGCTTAAATATTTATTAAAAAAAGAATTAACATACCATTAATATGAGAGGTTGCACAATGTCCAACCTTTTTGTTTGATAATGAAATTGTGAAACATTCACATAAATTACATTCGAATCTGCTGGTGAGACGCGAAAAAGTAAAATATTTTATTAATGTTGAAAATTTATTTTTTTTATTTTCTAATATTTTGTTGAAAATATAATCTTCCAAATCAGTGATATAAATCATAAGATTCCTCTTTAAATTAAGTTGGAATTGATTTATATGGATGATGTTGTTGTTTATGTTGTTGTTATTGCTGTTGTTATTGATTTCATATGTGAGATCAATGATTTCTTCTGTATACTTGTTTTCCTTTGTTAAATCAATTATAATCTTCATTCTTAATATAAATTGTTTTTTCTATACAAAAATGAAAATATGATTTGCTATTTATATTAAATTCTATACTATCAAAGTAATGAATGAGTTTACAGTAAAAAATAATATTTTACAATATTATATAAAAAGTTAAAAAAGTTAAAAAGATTACAAAATATATTATTCAAAAAATAAAGTTTTACAACAAAAGATAATTAAAATGATCAGAAAATAGTTATTTTTGAAAATTCTGTAAGTTAACATGAGATAGAGTTCTAAATAGTTTTGTAAACAAGTATATATCCACATTAAATTGTGAACAAATACTCAAGCAAATCATATAAAATAAACAAGAAGTGTGAGTAATGTTTATAAACACTGAGAAAAAAAAATTGAAAAGAAGAGAGAGAATATATATATATATATATGGTTG